AAATCAACCGGACAACAACACTGGTATATTCATTTCATAAGTGTCTACAACTTCCTACGAGCCGCGTTGTTAGAGCATGTAACATGTTCTTGATGCATTTCTGTAGAGGCACCTGCTACATGCCCAACATCAGAATAAGCAACTTTGAAATCAGGAGTATATATATGTTGTTGAATGATCTCATTTTTTCTAGCAATAAGTGGTGGTAGTACCAAAGGACTTGAAGTAGAACGAAATCCTGATAGTGGTCCGACTTCATCTAGTCGAAAATCCCTGCTGGTGTTGCAGTGAAGGAAGTCTATAGGTAAAGTATCTATTGAATCAGGAGTTTCTGTTTCAACTTTCGGAGGAGTTGCGTTTAGGTGATTTTCCATGTTGATCGTTGTTTTCGAAGTTGAAGTACTACATTCATGAACTAAAGAAGTCTTGTGTTGATCGTTAGGATATGTGGTCGTCCATGAATGAAGTGGATAACTTTGGGCATGGAATTGCATCTGCCAAGGAACGGAAACTATATATAGAGGAGTCCCTGACGCATTGTTCATCATCACGGACTCCTCTATACTTTGGGTACCGCTTTGTAATATGAGACCGTCAAAACACGGAAGGACGGTAGACAGAACAAGAGGCACTTGGTTATACAGAGAAGTTGTGGATGTAGTTGAAGTAAGAGTTTCCACAGTAGACTTGGAATCATCATCTGTTTCCTCTACTTCAGTCTTAACATTTTTAGCTATCTGCAGAATCAAGTCATTTTTCGCATATATAATTTGTTCATGTAAAAACATGTAATGCAAAGTCGATAATCTCCAATTAAACTAAGTTACCTGCATTCTCAAGTTATTGTTTTTGTTCTTCAACGATATGTATTCCGCAGCAACAAGTTCTTTAATCTATTCGTCAAAAATGACACTCAGCAGAAAAACGGCAGAGATAGCACAAATATATGAGTAAAGATATCACACATACCTTCTTCAAATTTTCATTCTCCAGTGCTAGATCTGCTGCTTTTCTTCTCATTTCCTCTCGCAGTGCCTTTTAAGGAAAAACTATCAGATTTTGACATGGTACAGTCTGTTAGCCTCAATTTAATTAAGTTCTCCATCGATAACAAGAAACGTAGAAGTCCGGGGAATATGAAAATCCTATAAAGAATCATTGAACCACAAGCACTTTGTCAATTCTCATTCTTGTTAGGCAGATGATTTTGGTTGGAAGACGAGCGGTAAGGATAGAACTGCAAGTCCCAACTGCCGCAGGAAGACACACTAATCATGTAAACATATTTTATTGGGACGTCTGTGGACACAACGGTCGCTCTAAATTAAGTGCATTATTCCAAACTATTATCATGTTAAAAGAAAACATGTTATGTTATGTTCTCTAGGGAAGTTCTCAAAGCACCAGCACAAACTCCGTTAGTTCACCAACGGCTTCAATTAGTTCGTAATGAAGTTGTTCAGCAAGTGTAGACATAACCTTGTTTTACAAGAAAAGGGTCAACTGGAAACCTAGTAGGTAAATCATCCAACACATAAATTTCCTTCTTGCATGGTAAAATAAACAGCCGACTCGCTCGCATGCACATGAAGGGAATTGAGAATATAATTAAGTAAATAAAAGTTTGTTCTCTCTAACAATTTAAATTTGTTGATGAGATAAAATATAAAAATCTCATAGCACCCTCAGTTAAGTAAGTTTGTGCCCTCATGTAGTAGTGGTGTATGCAGAATTTGTAAGCGGTTGAGCATACCTGTCTACGATGAATTGTCCGCTTGGCAGATTCTCTGTTAGCTAATACACGGCGCGTCCTTCGTTCTTCCTTCTCTGCCTGAGAAAACATGCGTTCAGTTTTTTTTTTTAAAAAAAGTTGAAACATCTAAGAAATAAGTATAAGAGACTGTAAATCTTTAGCACCTCAGTCAATTCCTGCAGCGATGTTCTTCTGGTAACTGGCGGTGGATAATTTAAATCACATACAAGACTTGTTTTGAGTTCAGATTCATATCTAGTCTGAATAGCTACTTCTTGCTCATCTTCAAACTTTATGGCTATTCCTTGCTCCTATATAAACAAGAGAGGATCGGGGAATTCTATCAAAAGATCGGGAACAAAATGCAAAAGAAAACATATCTACTTAGACAGAAATGGCTTCAGGGGCACCTGTTACAAATACTTGCAGTACTGCCCAATAACCAATTTGGTCCTGAGGTAAGGAATAATCAGTTACGCCAAAAGATGCACACACGAAGATATGTAAATGAAAGTTAAAACCTCCAAAGTGAAAAGCAACAGCTAAACTAAGTCCATATCAAAAAGCAAATGAGGAAACTAACCTGTGCCTCCTAGACATTCCGAGAAAACCCGCAATAGAGTAGTTCAGCTCGGACTGTCATATCTTAAACTAATATACAAAACAATTCACAATGTATGCCCTTAAAAAACTAAAATGATAAAGAAACTAATCATTATAGATGTTACATCTCAAATCTCAACCTTATCTGAATGCTGAAGAATTGAGTCCATTTCATAGAGAAAATGAAGTGACAATACCCATTGAGAGTAGTCTCATGTTCCTCTTTTCCCCTCTCTTGACAATTCTCAACTCAATTAACTCTACTCATCCCATAAAGGGATCACACTCGTGTGTTTGGTACGGAGGAAAATATTTTCTACATAGATCAAATAAATAACTTTCACAAGTAGAATTTTATATTAATCATCTCATCTCGGTTCTCAGGTCAACCCCACCCATAGCCTCCTTTGAACTATACCAAATTGAACAACAATGCACCCCAATTAATAATTTGATTTAAAAATACCCTTGTCGTCAATAGTTTGATCCAATCAAATCTCATTTCATCAATTAATATAGGATAATTACATGTATCTTCTTGACTAATACTCCTATGGTCTCACTGTCTCACTTTATGACTTACTTTCCTTTTTATTCCATCCTTCAAAAAGAATTGATATATTTCTATACTTGGTAGCAATAACTTCAAAATATCCATTTTACCTATCGAATGATTTCTAGCGACACAAATTTACTCTGACTTATTTTAAACCACAAATTTCAAAAGTATTTCTTCCTTTATTTAAATACGTGTCAAGTCAAACGAACTCATATAAATTTGGACAGAAGGAGTAATATAAGGTATATATAAATAAGATTATAGTAATTCCATCGTTAATTTCATTTTGATAACAAAATGTTTTTTTAATAAAATAGACAATAGTTGTATTTCTTAATATAGGATAAACACTTGATAATCAAAAAAATTATTATTAGAAAAAGAATTGACACTAACAAGAAATGAAACAATTATCTTTATTTGGAAAAAGGCATTTTTCTAATAGTTTAGTAGTAACAATTTGGACATTTTTAATCAAACTATTGCCAGAAGGATAGTTTTAGAACAAAACTATTAACTGAGACATTTTTGTTCAATTTCGAATTGTTTGCATTTTTTACCCTTTTTCGTAGACTATTATAAAAATATTTTTGAGACAACAATATTCTCTGTGTATCTACCAAATATCATAAAATAAGTAAACAAATTCAATAAATTTACTTGGCGGAAAATATTTTTCTTCGTACCAAACACACATTAATATGATTGTATTGAAGCCATAGTTACAGATGTCCAGAGCTCGTACCTGAACTGATGAACACGAACGGTGAAGCAAACTAATTGGCACAATGCTTTTTAAATTATGTACTGTTAGTATCAGTAAGAAAAAGTGTGTCAGTTTTATAAATCAAAATTGAATACAATCAGAAATACACATACAGTAATACGAGCATCGTCGGCGTCTACGGAGAATTCAATTTCACCGGCGATATGATCTCGAGCCACTGGATCAGACAAACAAGTTAACGCCTCCGCTGCTTCCCACTCGCATTCCACCAGTTCGCCGGAAAATTTATCGTCCGCCGTGCATGACGGCGTCGTTTGGCATGTAAAATCGTTGTTCATGAGGTAGAATCGAAGAAGAGAGAGTGTTGAGGGAAGAGGAGAAAGCAGAGAGCTTAAATAGAGGGGAAAAAAGGAAAGAGGAGGGATGAGGAAGTGACACGTGTCCGCCAGATCACTGGGACACGAATCTGATGGTTGAAAAGCTCTGTATCTGGACATGACAGATGTTTCCTGCAGAGATGACATTTTGAATTTTGATGTTTTGCTCAATAACGAAATTGCTCCTTTCTAAATCAAAAATCTCGTGTTCGAATTTTGCGTATAAAATTTTATTTGTTGAGAACATTATTTCTAATAAAGCTCCCATACGAACTTCGAACATTAAGTTTAAAAAAATATTACAAAAGGTGTGGCTATGAGTTTGAGATATCAAATGACTTTGTTGTCCAGGTACATTGAGATTCAGCTTTTTACGGTTTTGAGTCATCCAAATATAGATTAAGAAAATTACCGATTTTCTACTTTTTTCTGTTCCAAAATATCATTTTTTAGTTTGTCTAAGAAATGTCTTTTTTATTATAAACTTAATACACGAAATGAATTGATTTAACTTTCAATTTATAATAGAAAAAGATAGCTATTGTGAGGCTTCTTGAGAAGTAGCTACAAGGCTTTTTGAAATGGTACTTGAGAGTTATCTGTCTAAGCTACTTGTTAGGTTTGATGGTAAGTTTGAGAAGCTCTTGCAAGACTTTTCGAAAAGCTAGTTACTAGTTGTCTAATTGAGCTACCCTTAAGCTTCAAAAAACTACTTTGTAAGCTTTTTATTTGTCTGCTTGCTTGAGCTACTTGCAAGTTGTTTTGTAGCTCAAGCAAGCAGACAACTTGCAAGTAACTCAACTAAACAACATCTAGAATGAAGTTATAAGTGTACTTAAATTTGACATCCACAACGCAATATATTTATAACATGACAATTTATTTTTTTGATATCTGAGAAATTTGACAGATTCGATAGACATGGAAATATATACCCTTCTTATTACCCTCTTTCTCAACATGGATATGGCAGCATTCCAATTTTAACTTGCACATGTTACATTCTTACTACTAAATCCTAGCAATGAGAACAAGAGGTCCTATTACATTCTTGCTAATAAAAAGGTAAACTAACAACAGGTTGGAAAACAGAAGACCAAAATGAAGTAACTACTACTTTGCACATACTACAGCTTGTTTGCAGAAAAGATCGAAAATGACTAAGGCTTTTCAGAAGTGCATTACATCACCATTGCACCAATCGGCCTAGGAGTTGATGATGCAGAACGAGGTCTTGGTGAGAGGTGTGTCAGTTCTAAGGCCTGCTCCCTTAGTTCAACCGGGTAGTCGTTAATGCATCCAATTCTTGGACCTGCACCAGTTGACCATGCCAGGGAGAGTTGATGACCCAGTTGATATGACTTTGATAACTTCTTTGAATTAATCCTTTGCAGTATTGCAGTTTTTGGCACCTCAGCTCTCGGGCTCTCAAGACCACCCGAGAGTGTTCTCTTATAGTTACTTGCCTTTTCAGCTTGTGGACTTATCACTAATTTTGAGAAGTCTTTTTCCTCTTCCTTCAGTAAATCAACTTGAAGGGATTCTGATATAGTTGAAAGATCAGACGCAGAGCGACTCTCAGATGACTTTCCCTCTTCATAGCTCTCATCATCATCTCTTGGCTTTTTTATCTGATAATAGATAAAAATGACGAGTATTAACTCAATTCAGAATGGGATAACTATTCACAAGTTAAATCATATGCAGAGTAGACTATAACAGTAAGAAAGTAATCTGGAAGTACAAAAGACTCAGAAATCACTAACCTCAGTCTCTTCCAGGTTGACTCCATTTTCCTTCAGAAATGATAAGAAGCTGTCGAGGCTATCATCAGTTGGCCGATAATGCCCACTATATGCTGAAATAGACTGGAAAAAAATAAAATGTCAGAGCACAGCAGTGTGCAACCTAAACACGGAGAGCAGAGACTGAGGTTTGGCTTTCAAGCTACACGCTTATGATTCAGGTGGGAATTATACATTCTCTTTCTTACCTTTCATTTGCAAAAATAACATCAGAACAATAGGCTTGAGAACAGATATCGAAACAAAAGGGATGGGAATTTTCTCTTCATAGAGCTTCTAATTCTCTCTATGCAAATTAAGAAATTCTACAGAAGGTGGTATGCCATTGAACAATTCAAGTATATTAATGCGGAGTAGAAAGTGTTTTTTGAATCCATAGACATAACTAGTGTTTCATAAAGCTGAGAAGAAATGACTCCTGCATTTAGATCTCGACATAGTTTCGAAGTCAAACATATACAATCTAAAGATAGTAAAACGATGTAACAGATATTTACCTTAAGTATCCCATCTTTTACCACTAGTCTTCCAGCAGCTAAAGTAGCTCCACCAGCAAGAAAGCTGGAATGATGAAATATTCCTTTCTTCTTCTGTAAGGCGTTAGAATAACAAACCTTTCACGTTAACAGAGGAAAAACAATTTGCAGGATAATCATCATAAAAGCATTTATGTAGTAATTTTTACCACTCACCTCGCCAGCATAGAGTCTCTTTGAGGTGCTCATTACAAAAATCCATTTTGCCCCGGGCAACCCATTGGTTGTATCAAGATGATTTCTAGTTAGGCTATGAAGTATTTTCCCTTCGGCCACTACATATTCATAATCTTCTCTCTCTTGCTGATAACAGAAGGATAACGGAGCAATTAGGAGCTGCAAGGCGATATCAATCAATGTGACTAAGGAAATTATGTAGAATTATGTACATATGAAAACATGCAATAGAAGTATAATTAATATTACATGTTATACGATAGAGCAAATCATATGTATGAGACTATCAGTAAAGACAAGCCAACATCAGCACATAGATATGAGAAGCCATTTGTATACTGATGCTAAACATTGTGATTTGCATTGTAATAAGCAACAAAAGAGTCAGCACATACAGGTCCAAGATACTTGATACTTTGTGTCTGAAGCTTAGATCTCGGACATTCTTTGAGCTCAACCTTTTTGCCATCTCCAAGATCCAACCTGCACATGTTCCAGAAAATAAGTTACTGCCGACTATTTCTTACAAAGAACTTCATAAATCATGTTGCATTATCCATATTGTACAAAAACTGCAGTCAAATGAAAACAGAACCCAACAATGCGCAATGTTCTAGACTTCATACTAAAGTAGCACAAGATTCGTCAACCGCCCATGCAGTAAATTGATGCATCAACTTCCTGTACATATTAGAACTGTAAAAACATGGAATAACCACTAATGTCAAAATACATTTGCATTTATGTAGATTATATCTTATTGACGCGAATGCAAATCAAACAAACTGTTCCACTAATATTTTAATATTACTTGTTTTAGTAGGACTATATAACATTTTCTGGAGCGTTTCTCATTTGTAATTCTTTCTAGAACCTTATTCAACAAGTATAAAGGGAAAGCTACATAAACAATAAATTGATATTTTTCTCCAAGAATTAGCACATCGCCCTTTGTAATGATCGTCACTAGTCATGAATTCCACCATTAAGGAAAAACAAAAATTTGCAACAGTTCCTAAAAAGCAAAGCCAGGAAAAACCAGAAGCAGTAAAAATACACACAAAAATGTGGTTTCAACCCAAAAATGATGGGATAGAGCTGCCATCCCCCATTATTTACCACCTCAATATATACCATACAAATTTTGTCATGTACCAATTCCAGCATTCAGCTTTCTTACCAAAAGAAAAATGGCTGACCAGCATCAGTTTTACACCATTCTTTATAGTACATGTGCAAGTTATGCCCATAACGGTGGCGTGGGTCAATCTACAGTTACCACAAAACTAAGGTCAGCAAAATACAAACACCAATGAAGTTAAATGTTAATGGGGTACATTCAAATAAAGCAGCAGTGGGAAGTGACTCACTGCCTCAATCCAATGCTGAAAAGCTAGTTTCTGGGCCTTTCCATCTCTTGACAATCCCTTACCAACCTGGCCAAAACGAATACATAATTAACCTTCAAAAGTTTTAATTAACTTGAGCTAAGAAAATCGTCAAAATAAAAGAAAAAAGTTGATTAGCTTTTTACATGAGGCGACAAAATTAGCTTAAATGAAAGTGGGATACATGTAGTCGACCCAGACTTGTTTGGAACTGAGGAGTTGTTGTTTGTCACAATCAACTTTTTACATGCTAGTATTCTTCTCGCTACACTGATCACAAATTTTATATTTTCATCTATAAAGAGAAGGAATATCTTTTTTATTTGATTTGGTGTGCATCACTTTCTCACTATTAATTTATTTTTAAAAACATTTCCTTTCTCTTTCTGAATTTGGCTTGTTGTGCATATTTCTCTTTCTGTAATTTTAACCACTCCATTCTGTATAAAAAAGACCCCTCTTTGGTATTTTTGGGTGTCATGAACTGTAGATTGGGTCATGACTGTTTAGTGACTCACCCAATATTCCAATTAATAAATCCAAACTTACAATTCAATCATTCGATAGCCTAATGATAGTTATTGTCTCTTATAGATAAGATGAGATAACATAAAGTAGAGGTTGTTCCATGTTAAGTGTAGGCCATTACTGCACACCTTTTCTTTTTTTGTTCTAAAAATGAGAGTAAATTTTACTACCCTTGAACCAATCTACGTGACACACTTTACTTTGTAATCTGTCTCAAAAAAGTTATTATGGTTTTATGATTATTTTTTTACTGTGGTGTCTGCGTCATCCCTCTCACTTCTTGTGTGCCATGTAAAAAGTTACTCTACATGGATCTAAACCTGGGCGCCTGGTAAGTTTTGAGCATACCTTGTCACTGTGCTACTTGTCTACATTGATTTTAAAGGTGTTCAAAATATTATAGTGTAATTTACACCACACAACCGTAGCTCTACCCCTGGAGCTCATGGTTGTCAACCACTTCATTAACCACTATGATTAAAAATAAATTAAACTTTAAAATTTCTCCTTTACTTTAGATAAAATGGTTCATCGTCCCACAAATGATACTTGAACCACAAATTTCAAAAGTAACTCTCACATAAATTGGGAGTAAGGGATTAGTAAATATATACTTAATGGAAAAAAATTCAACTGTTTAGGTTGACGCAAAAAATTGTAGCACGGCGCCTGAATCCTTGAAATTTAGCAATTTATATACTCCTAATAGAAATTAAAATTGTGAGGCTACCTTGGAAGCATTTAAAGTGATGCGATTCCACCGTGAAACCGCCGTCTCCGGTTGAGGAACATTGAAGAAAGAAATCGTACTGTGATTCAATCGAGCATAATCTATGGCTTGCCACCTTCAAAATCATCGCAAAATAAAAACATTAACAACAATTTCATAACACTACTAAAATTCCTAATTAAAGAGATAACAACAAACCAGAGCTCTTCAGCAACCAAAGCAGAATCCGCTAACATACGCCGGGTACGGTAACTCCGGTAAACCTTCTGAACTGTCATTGCCGCTTTCGCATGATGTTTTGTTGGCGTATCCGCCGGAATCACATCTCCAGTGGAAACAGGCCACTGACATTCCCGGCCATTAGCGAAATTCGTGTCTAAAAAGGAGTTAATCGGAGACTGGGAGCTCAGATCAAAACAGGACGGCGCGTGCGTTTCGAATTCCATCGGAAAATGTAGAAATTTGAAATGAATGGACGCTTTTCTTGTGGCAAGTAAGAGTTATTTATAGTGGCTGTGGTCAGAGTTTCTGGGAATATGCGCAGTAAGAGAGAAGTTCAATAGACGCACAATAACATATTTGTCATGTATAAAGCATGTTTGGAGTGAATAGTGATCCTTTCCAAGATTTTATTTAAAACTCGTTTGATCATAAAAAATTTTCACTTTTTTAGTTGAATTATTTTTTTCCCCTTATTTGAAATTTAACCTTTGATCATGAAAATTTTGAATTATTTAAATCACAAAATGAAAAAATTACGCGTATAAATAAACATATACTAGTTAATTAGTTAACATAGCTATAGTTTATCATAATTACAATTCGCAACCTACTTTTAGTTGTAATTACGTGTCTTAGCCTTTTAGTTTTGTATAATTCGGAATTTGTATAATATAATTTGTATAACTTTTGTATAATGTAATTTTATATAATATAATTTGTTTAACTGTTTATACTTTAAATTTTTGTAATTGTATAAATTCGTTATTTTAAGTTTATACAAAAATAACTGAACTATACAAATGTACCCGTGAATTATACAAAGTTGCGAATTATACATACCCGCGAGTTATACAAACGAGGCAGCTTAAACCGTATCTACAGCCTGTAAATATGCAAACTATAGTTATGAAACATAATTAAGTTTATTATAGTGGCTATTCGCGAAAATTCCCCTTTATATTTTTAGAAAAGTATATTTATAAAAATTATAACTAAACACGGCTCTAACTTTAAGAAATCCAAATAAATTGAAAATATATTTGTAATAATATTATGTGGTTGTCGATTTTGAGATATTACTTGTGTATGTTTCAAGTAAATTAATAAGATCAGGTGATTTTGCTAATTTTTAGAATTTGGTAATATAAATCATATTTAGAAAAAAATACATTCAAATTGTAAATAATGCACAAAGTATAGATTAACACAACTTCAACTTTAGAAAATTCAATTAAAGTGACAAAAACATTTGATTTTTATGGTCAAATGCCCACTAAATATCAATATCCTTTATTTGTTAAAAATAATAACAATAATATTATTAGTGTGGAATATTTGATATTTTTCTATTTTATGTAGTGATATATATTTGATTAGACACAAATCTTTAAAGAAAAATAGAAGTATTTAAAGCATGTCATCAGGTTTATAAATCTTAGCGCTATTAATCAACACCTAAAATGTAAGACTAAAATGCAAATAAAAGATACTATTTGTAACAACATATAAGTGAAATATCTTAGTAAAGCTAACAAATAATTTAAATCGAAAAATAACACTTTAAAAAGGAAATATTTTTTATCAAGATAATTTTATTTTCATATTTGAATTAAAAAGTCTTTGATTAAGAATGAAAAGGTACTTATCGCGTGTACTATAATTTTGATAATATGATTAGCATTACAGTTGTGTTTCAATATGAAGGAAAATATTTGAAAGAAAAATAAGTAAATTTCTTTTTCTTTTATAGTGTTTGTTATGTAATTACAAAAATATTATCCTAAAATTATTTATATTTAATATAAACAAAGACTCTATGACAAGGCTGGAGATATTGTGTGGGTTGGTGGGGATCGACTCAATTTCCTCATTTAAAAAAAAATATATATATAAGTATTAAATATTTTGACTAATCAAATATGATAAAATCGAAAAATATTTTCCAACCAAACACTTAATTATTGTTCAAATTATTATATCTTCTTTCAACACGTGTAAAGTAACCCATTTGTCATTTTGGAAAACTATGAAGAAGAAAAAAACGAAAAAGGCCAGTTGTTTTTTCGTTAGATTTAATTGACTCGTCTACCTACTATTTCCATCTACCCATCATAAATTAAGTTCATCTAGGAACACTAATTTAACAAAATTTATTAAGTAAAAGAAAAAACAGAACAAAACTTCTTTATCTGCGTTCCAAATTAGTTGTCATATTTCATTTCTTAAAAAGTCAAATTATTGAAATTACTCTCTTATTACTTCCGTTACAAAGAGGTTCTTCCTAGAATTTGTATTCTTTTAAGTGAAATAAGTTAAAAGAATATAGAAATTAGTTGTGTAGCAAATTAAAATATAGTAATTTATTATAAATATTAAAAATTTAGTTAAAGGGTCCTGTTTAATGTTAAATGTTTAATATGAAAAAAGCCGCAAGATGCAGTATTTTTCGTTGAGGTCTTACCTATTTAAATTTGTAATTTAAATTAACTCTGATAATTAGTCGATTGACTTTCGAGAAGCGAAATTTAAAGGACTAATTAATTTAGGAAGAATAGAGTATTATTTAATTTACAATTTTGTGCATATAGACAATGAACACTTGGTAGAGTTCTCACTACTATACAAGATAATTCAAAATAGGTTAGCAAGTCGTTTCTTGAATTCTACTATTTTCCATTTTTGCTTGCTTTACCAACATATTTTTTTGTTTATTAATTACAACAAGGAAAATTAGGTACATAATTTTTTTTCAATAAACATTTGTGATACAAGAGTTGTTAATTATTTGTTTTGACAAGCATACAAAAAATGAATTATTTATTTAAGAACTCCATTTTGTTAATAGGTTGTAGTTAGGTCATATCATAAAATAGTCATCCGATAAATGATTGATGTTGATTTAGAAAAAAGATGCTAGGTATAATTAAGTCGTGAACAAATAATTATTATACTGTAACAACTGAATAAGTTCGATCTATCAAAATGACTCATTATTTCAACATCAAATTTGAAAAATGAAATATAAGTTCTTAAAGTTTTTTAAATTTTCATGTTTAAATATATTAAACATAACAAATAATTAACAATGAACACTTGCTAGAGTTCTCACTACTACACAAGATAATTCAAAAGGAGCTAGCAAGCTGTTTCTTCAGTTCTCCCTTTTTCCATTTTTGTTTGCTTTACCTACCTATTTTTTGTTTATTTATTATAGGAAGGGAAATTATTTGTACTACTATTCTTTCCAATAAAAAATTGTGAAATAAGAGTTGTTAATTATCTGTTTTGACAAGCGTACAAAAAATGAATTTACTATAATTATTTGAGAATAATTTTAGAGACCTCCATCGAGGTTTCACTCTATAACACTCACTTTTTCTGTGGTTTATGATATTACGTCCACCTTTTTTATTTTTATTTTTTTAAGTCATTCTTTAAACCTATTTAAAATAAATATAAATAATAAGTTATATGAATTTCTTCATATTATATTTAAAAAATGACTTGTTTAATAAATACTTTAAAAATAAATCATTATGAAAAGCGACCAATTCAGTCATAAATGTTTTATATGAAAAACGACCAATGAGATGTCATGCAAAACCTATTATAGGATTCTTTTTCGCCAAAAAAAAAATCATTAAAAAAAAAATCGAAATAAAATATAGTTATGACAGAAGAGAAGAAAATAATGAACAACTCCTAACAAAAAAAAAAGGACCAATTCGGTCATAGATTTCTACTCAAATTAAATTATGAAATAATATTTGGTTAGTAACTCAAATGGAGCAAATGATTATTATATCGGATTAACTCATTATTTCGATATCAAACAAGTGAAATATCGAATATAAAAAATGAAACATAAATTTTAAAAGTTCTTCAAATTTTCATACTCAAATATAATTTCGAATTCTAAACATTTTTTTCCACTTCTACTTTAAATACTATCTTTTTCAAAATTTCAATCAATTCATATCCAGACGCCTAAAATGTTTTCTCATTAGATATGATAATGATCTTACACCATTTTTTTTTAATATTAGAAAATGTAAAATATAAAAGGATGAAAGAGAGAGATGGTGGGGGTGGGGGTGGGGGAGTGGAGGGACTACTGCGTACCTTCTAATTATGGAAAATACAAAATTAAATTGACCCAATGGAATATCACAAGTCAAGTCTTTCAGAAAATATAAAAAATTAAGTCTCTATCTAGAAATAAAAAAAGTTGTGGTCAAGCTTAATGGAAAAAAGAAATATTTGAATTCAACGTTGCATGTTCCTTTTAATTACTAAAATGTCATTCCATTTACATTATTTATTTCCACATTTTCTTATTTATTTTTATTCATCCACTTCCAACTTTTTGCATTATAAGAAATAATAATTACGTAATACTTTTCGATATGTTAAAAATGATAAATAAAAATAAAAATAAAAATATATTTCTAATATGATAAATAAGAAAAAATAGACGAACGGAATAGATCGGTCTCTAATATAATACGAACCACGCTTATCAATGTTGTTGTCATTTTTGAAATATAATACAGCTCTAAAAAAAAATTAAACGAAAAGAAATGTGTGTATAAAATGTTTTAAATTTCGAGTTATTAAATAAATCCCGACATCCTAAGATAATTAATGAATGTCTTGTCATAATTTTAGTCCATGTTTGTCCATTCTTAGCAACCATATTTAATACTAATATTTAGTACTCTAGTACATACAGACCCGTTTGCCCTTAAGAATATTTGAAAAAAACTTAATAAAAAATTGAGAAGTGATATTTAGTCATATAACTTGGTAAATATATTTACCAATTATTCTTTTCTTTTTTACCAACTATTCCAAGTTCCCAAATTGTAGAAAAAAATTAGTGTTTCGGCCAAGTTCATATTTGAGAATTTTTAAAAAATTAGGAATTACCTCAAATTTTTATATTTTATAAAAAAATATTTATTATCTATTAATTCCAACTAATATTTGTTACTATCTCCTCTGGAAAAGTTTGAGTGATAAAATTGAGAAAAAAGAACAATTTGTGTTTAATCAGTTATAATTATAACTGAATTAGTGACAAGTTTGAGTATGCGATTAATGTATTGTCTTGCCTATATAGTTATTTTGTTATTGTTGATTGTTATCAATTTTTAACGGAACATAGTTATTATAAAATGATAATATAAATTTATGAGTATTTTTAATAATTTTTAGAATTTATGGGTATAAATCATATTTTTTGAAATAGTCAAAATATTGTTTGAAAAATTTGTGGCCAAACACTTGGTGAAACTTCACCAAAAACTTCACCGAAATATGATTTGCCTAGAATATTTGAAAAGTTAG